GAAGACATCACATTATTCTCACTAATTTCAAGTTCACCTACCTGGATCTTCCTCTTCCAATTATGATCATGTCAAAAGCAAGACAGATTGATCAGAAACTGAGTCTCCCCAATAACTAGGGAACAACAACACCATGACAATTTTCTTTATTTTCCTCCCAGATGCTTCATTACAGTTCTGCCAGACAGAATGCACTTTAAGGAAAAGTCCAAACTGGGTATCAATCCAAAGCATCTAAATTATTTTCCACTTCAATTTTCCCTTTGCCTACTTAGGCAATGTTAAGACAGTCTGGTTCTGGATTTGTAATATTCTTTACCAGTAGAAAATGATTGGTAAGAATTGAGCAAATCTACTGGATGTCAAATCACATGCGTAATTTATTTGAGCTATTGAGGCTAATGGTCCTTGGCACAAAATTGCATCACCTAATAAACTGGGCTTGTTATTAAAGTAAAATCCGAGAATACACAAAACCTAAAACAAAGTGATTTTCAGACCTATTCAAGTAATATACAAGCTATAAATGAGTGTTGTCACTGCATAAATTAATAAAAAGTACAAACTGAAGTTATTTTATTCTAATCATCATTCAGCGCCCAGGAATGCTGTGCACCTGTTCCTCAAAATAAGACAACAGAGCAAGGAGCCTTTGTCTGAATAAATATTTAAACTGAGGAAGAATAGAATCTAAAGCCTCTCAGCAGCTGGAGACATTACTTTTGTCTCTGTTGAGCTGGCAAATACTGTTCAGCTTCTTCTACAGCAGGAGAAGAAAATGAAAATGCAACGGACTTAAGGAAGACTATCTCTCTAAGGATGATTACAGAGGCACGCAAATTGGGAATTGTATTTCCATCCTACATCACCATGAGCCTTCACCCCATCTATCTCTGTGAAAAATAAACCTAACCCAATCTCTTGCTTCAGACAAACTTCTTGCAGCCTCATCAATATTCCCTTCACAGTGCCTGCGTGCATGTGGAGGCTTAATCGATAGGAAGACAGGAAGGCAGTCGGAACCTTCCCTGACAGCTAATGACCTCCTTTGGCGAGAGATTCTCTGCTTTTCTCCGGAGAAAATGACAGGCGTGTCAGGAGAGATTAAATGAAAGATTCATAGCTTGCTGGAGTTTGTTAGTGAACTATGGATACTACAGGTGCAGCTTTCCCCCCCTACTCTGGAAACACCCCCTCCCTGCTCAGCCACAGCAGTAGATTAGCCACCAAGGTGTTAGACAGCCAAAAAATGGAAAAGGCAACAAGTATCTTCCCCAAGCCATGTATTCTTCCAAGTCTCTCTTTTCTCTCCCTCCTCCTCTTCAACTTCCATGGAAATCCAATTTGTCTTAATTTGTACTTTTTTAAAAAGCTATAACACATACAGAATACAGGTGAACTCTTATTCATAGAAAATGAGAAACAAAACACAAAACAGAAACACTCAATTTCTGAGCTGTGTTAAATGATGTGACCAATTTTTTTTCCCCATAGAGAGCCAGAAACAATATAGAATCGCAATATGAAGCCCTGGGATGGGCTTCAAAATTTTCAGCAATGGGTTCTCTGCCCGGTTGCTTGGGTGGGCGTGGCCTAGTCGACCTCCTGCACCATTGCTGGGGGGGGGCAGCATTTTCACCTTCCTGACACTCCGGAGGCTTTCCTCTGGGAGGGTGAATGCCTCCCCAGGCTCTGGAGGCCTTCCGGAGGCCAAAAATGTGTCCATTTCCAGCCTTCCAGAAGGCCTGTTTCCCTCCCTCCCCAAGCCTCTGCACGGGCTCTACACTTACCTCACATCCGAAATGGGCTGGGTGGAGACTCTGGTAGGGGTGGGGTGGGCTGAGCCTCCCAGGGGTGGGATTTGGAGGTTTCCGAACTGGCCATAATATTAGCTATGGGTTGCCCCAAACCCGGATGAACCCGTAGCTATATTGCTGTTATAGCAATATAGGTCTCAAGCCTTAATTAATAAAGGTTAGTTACAGAGCACCCATAGGCATAGACTTACACACTAGAATGATGTTAATGTACTCCCATATTAAATAACAATGGCCAAGCTCTCTATGAGGGTAGTTCTTGGTTTGTGATGATAATTGGGACCAGGATTGCTATTGCTAAGGCTTAAAGTTTTCATGTGACCCCATTGGTTAGTGACAGCAATTCTGACCATTCTGATTGTTGTCATTAAGCTAGAACCCCAGGCGATTCTTAAGCAACTACCTCATGTGATTGCAACTTGCAACTCCTGGCAGTTTTCCCATTATCTTTGTGAGGAGTTAGCAAACTGTGATCATGTGACTGTGACTCACTGCAATATCATACTCATGAAGCAGGCATCAAGGGCCTGAATTATAATCACATAACTACATGGATGGACTCATTGCAAGTCCCTCTTTGTTTAACTCCATCATAAGTCTTGTCGCTAATTCTTGTAACCCAAGAACTACCTGGAGACATTTCTTCTTCTGAAATTTAAGATCTTGGCATTTGTAAGACATTGTTGGAGAGAGAAGAGGAGTCAAACAGGGAATTAGTGTGGAATCCCTATGTGGGCATAAGAGAGGGAAGTCTGACTACCTTTGAATGCCACTGAACCTTATCTTGTCTGATCCAGGTGCAAACTGCCAATTTGAGAAGACTTCTGTGTAACTGGCTGGCTGAAGCAATAAAAGAGCTAACTGAAATCTCCACATGTGGATCTGATTGTTTGTGCCTGACAGATATTTGCCCATTATGTGAGCTTCTGCAATGGCACCTGAGCCTGAAAAATGTATCAACCCTTGATCTATAATATTAATGATATAAAATATTCTTTAATTAAATTCAGCTGTTTAAAACCTGCTTTACCTATTTAGCATTCTTCACATATATGCCCAGAGTCATTGAATAATATATCTGAAGAGCATCAATTTGAGGAAGGCTTGCCTAAAGGGCTGAATATGATATAAAATGGTTTTAAAATTAAAAATTTAAAAATATTAAATTAAACCATTAATGCATTTCAACCAAGTGTCCTATCTGCGGGTTGATGTATTTATCTGAGCTATTATTATATTTTCATGGAGAACATCTATTTGGTCACCAAGAATCAACAACATGATGGCACATTCAACCAACCATTTATTCATTAATTTTATTTCTCTTCCATAAATGCCTTTCCTAGAATAATCCCTCACTAGCATGGCACTGTCCAAGTTAACTGCTGACGGTAACCCAGACAACATCAAGCTGGAAAGGCTGCTCTGTAATTCCAACTATCTGCACCAAAGAATAGAGCTCTAAATACAGATTGTATAATCACAAGTTCAGATAATTGAAGTGCAGCTAATATAAGTTCACATCAATAATATCTTTATGCAATATAATATATAAGCTATTTAAAGGTCAGTAGAGACTTGGAAATAATTGGTGTTTGCATAATGTGGTACATGCAGTTGTGTAAGTGTGTGTGACTGTATTTGTGTATGTTCATGTCTCATTCTTTTCTGGCTATGTTGGACTAATTGGAAACAGGCCAAAGAAGCTGTCTATAGGAATAACTTAAAAAAGGTCACGTATATTTACATAAAGGAAAAGTACCCATAATTTGGAAAGAGAAAAGTGTTTTGGGAGGGTGGCAGGGAAGGATTTAGCTGTGACAAGCAGCGTGGCAGAATAAGTGAAATTGGCATTTTCAATTTGTACTCTGACATGTCTCATTTGGGGCCCTGGCATCTCAGAAAGGCATACAGCCTGCAGCTGTCCGAAACACTTATTTGCATTTCTCTGCCCTGGATCTTTTTGGAAATGAATTCCTTTTGAATAGGGTACAAAGTGGGAACTGGCAGATTATTAACTCTTTAGAAACCCNGAGAAAGGAAACTATTAAAAAGGCTACAGCTCATTTTCAGACTAATATTCAATGGCATTCAGCTTTGCAGCAGAGAAAGCTGTAATTTCCTGAACTTTTTGCTTTTTCCTTTGTTTTCATCTCCTCCTTTCTATTCTTAGATGCAAAGATAATTGGATGGATATACTTCAGGAGAAACTACATAGAAACTTCATAAAAGCAGAGAATGTTGATTTACCATAGTGACTGATTTCTATCCCTAAATTTTAGCAGACAGACTTCAGAGTGTGAGTTTCATATATACAAGAAGTGCTCTAGAAACAAATGCCTTCTAATGCAGTGAATATGTGCCAAATTCACTTCCAGCCCCTGCCTATTAGAGGGAATTGCCCTGAGAGTAATTCATTAGATCTGACCAATTGCCCTCAGAGCAATTCTTCAGATTTGAACAATGAACTCTTGCAAGCCACAAATATCGATTGATATTAAACATCTCCATTCTACAGTGAGAGCAGAACGAAAGTCACAGGGAGAAGCTAAGTAGAAAAGGAGAAAAATCAGTCCTAGAAATGGCATGTAGGATATGTATCTAATTCTAACCACTTAATCACATCCTCTATACCATTTCATCAGCAGCATGTCAATGACAGCAGTAGCATAATCAAATAAGCATTAGTACTTCTTAAAAACCTATGAAGGATAAGAGAGAATTTTACCAAATTTGTTAAAAAGAGCCTCTAAAAAGTAAAATGACATGATGAAAGTATTTGTAACAGCTGAAGAACTAGCAGTCTAAACTGACAGCAGCATTGTGTGCCACAGGAATGTTATACACACCAGCTTTCCCCAGCATGGTATCTGCCAGATGTGTTACACGTCAAATCCTATAATTCTTAGCCTCCTCTGACGCCGTTTCATGATTTGCCAAGGAAATTCCCCTGATACCACAGCTAGGTAAGCTAAGGGATTATGAACATGAAATCAGTAGTGTGCAAAGCTGATTAATACCAACAGCTGTAGGATATGCCTATCAGTCCATAAAATATTACAGGACCAAGTATTTCCAGGCACCCTGTGACACAACCAATTTCCTGTATACTGTTAAGAACGAGAATGGTGAAAGGCCCTCTTCATTGGCAGTGCAAACCCCCCCCCCCAATCCCAAACATACCTTAAGGATTTTGGGATCTGCACAACGGCTATTGCCATTGCTTGCATGCATCCAGCTACTTTCCGATACTGGGCAGTGTTGACGTAGGGAACATCGTTTTTCTGACACACACCAGCCGCACTCAAAGCGTGGATCTGCTTTCAGGCACAGCCCACAGCTTTCTCGCAGAGCTGAGCACTTGTACAAGTGAGCTGCAGAGGAAAGAATACACTCAAAGATAAATTGGTGCAAGGTAGAATTTGCTAAACAGACTATCCTCTGCCAAATGTAGGCACTCTCAAACCATATAGGATGAATGGTTGNAAAAAACCAGGTTTTTAAAAATATGTTTTTAAAACACTTTAAAAATAACTGTTGATACATATGATAATATCCTTTCACAATATAACTATATGTGTATGCATGGAGGAAAAAAATAGAAGAGCAAAGGGTACAGAAATATTATTAGCCTTGCCTATTTTACACTGACTGAAACGTATTTAAAGTCAATGCCAATTCCTTAAAAATCACAAACATGAAACACCACTTGGGAACAGGTAAAAATCAATTCCATTGTAACATTTGTCTTTACTGTTGCTACACCTATATAAATATCAATTTAAATCATGTGTCTGTCTATCTATCTTATCTATCTCTTTCTGTCTGTCTCTCTATCTATATACCTGGCCACATGGCTCTCCCCCACCAACCTGTTGGCTTTGTATATGGCCCAGAAGACCTTGGGCTAAGATAGATGGACTCTTGTCAGATGCGTTTTTATCTATGTTTTTGAATAGAGAAACTAGATCCTATCTTGTTTTATTTTGTATTGTATTTTTAATAGTATATTATATTGTAAGCCATTCAGAGTCAGATGGCACCTAAATTGAATTAAATAAACTACCTGGGCAGGTAGGATATTGCCACATTACTGGACAAGGTTTGCCTTTTGTGTTTTTGTGTAATTCTTCCTTCATTCCCTGCTGTAATGTATTCTTGATCTTTTTAAAATATCAATCAGGAATAACTCTATAATTGAAATCATTATACATTAATGTATATTTTGTCTGATTAATTTTGTTACAGAGAGAATACAATTAATAGATATGTTTTATTTTAAAGTAACATTAAAACAAGCATTAAATTAATTTCACCATTAAAAATAGATGTGTTTTTACAGATTTTCTTAGCACCAAGAAAGCTGGGCCAACTACAAACTTCCAAAGAAGTAATGTAGCATCATTCCCTCCGCACTGAAAGAGAAAGCTTTGATATCTGGAAGATTTCCAAAAGGGCCACGCCTGCAAAACCTAACAGAGTAGCTCCTAACAGATGAGCCAAACATTCAGATCCTATTTATGACTTAAATGTTCAATACCAACACTCAACATTGTATACCCCATCTGTACTTCTTTCACACAAGCTTCATATGAGCACTTTCCTTTGTGTTGCATTTGATACCAACTTAAAATTCTGGACATTTTTCAAGAGTAGTACTACATACAGTGTGTTGCAGTAATCAAGACGGAAGATAAGAAAAGCAACAACTAACTCTTGCCATGTTGTCAAACCCAATTGGCTAAGGAAGGGAGGCAGCTGAGACTTTTGGCATTTTTGTGCAAAAGCATGCCTGACAAATCCAGTGATGGAAGAGCTTTAAGGAAAATTTTCCAAATATGAACCAGCTCTTTCAGCCAAAAGAGGCTGACCTAAGCATCCCAAACCAATAACCTGGTATTTATTCATAGCACTTTTATCTTCTGTAGACTTGTTCTTCTTTCTCTTGCCCATTTTTTTAAAACTTAGGGCACATTCAGAGCAATAGAAGCATTATTGGTGACTTCCCACTCCAAAACCCAAGATGATCTCCCACGGGGGTCTCTGGTAGAATATATTGGGGACAAAACACCATAGGTCAACACCTAAGATTTCAAACAATACTCTGTTCAGTGCTACTTTCTGAACATTCTCTCAGAGGAAGAGCCAGAGTGCTATAGAAGGATTTCCCCAAGGTCCAATTCAATCTTGCTGGAGCATATGCCATTTAATACAGAAAGTAATGTTAGTCTGTTTTTTATGGTTGCTGGAGAGTAGTAAAGGAGCAGTTCAAATAGATCATTAGATGGGCCTCTGTTGACACTTAGTATCATCTGTCACAAGTCTAACAAAATCCCTGAGATCTACAACTTGGAAAGAATCTCAAAAATCGGACAAGAGGTATCTAAATTTTTAGCCCTGCAGCCTTTCCCAACATTGGGGAAAAAAAGAGCAAACTGGATAAAGATAAAGCAAATTGCTCAATTGCAAATTGATAGGGTATATAAAGGGTATAAATTGAGCTACCAACAGTACCTCCCTCCAACATTCTGGTAAACAAAATATCAAAAAAGCACATGGAACTGAAATTGACATACGTAAAAGAATAGCAGAGCAGAAGATTTTCAGATGGGCTTCATATTGTGCCTCAAACTGATTTGTCAGAAAAGTCTTTCTACTACCTGTTGCCCCATCTCCTTCGCTACTCTTAAATCCCTAATAAAGCAGTGGGCGGATTTGCCTCTATCAGAGAGAAATGGGTTCTTAGGAGTGCCAATGTCAACCACCTCAATTACTTCCATTTTTCAGAAGTCAGCCATGACACTTAACAGTATCACTGACAGATACCATGAGAAATTCCCCAAAGCTTTCATGAAACTATTTAGATAAATAAAGTATTTTAACTGGATAATTTTAAATGGTCCTTGACCCTTAGAAGTTTCTATCAGCTTTCAGTCTAAAATTAACCAGAGAATGATATGACCATGGCAACAGTGTTATAGACAGAGTCTCCATTTTTAGAACAGAAACTTCAAAGAAACAAACAAATCCAAAATCTTCCCCTGTGGTAAGTGAGAAGCAGACACTAGTTGGGACAGGCTGATCAACATCAAGGAGAGCATTAAATCATTAACTGTTCTTAGTTGAGAATTAATCAATGAGGGTACTGAAATTCTACAAAATATGGTGTTATGTGTAATTCAATGGCATGTTTGGATTATCCCCAATAAACCAGGAGGAGAGACCGTTCAATAAAAGTATAAGCCTGAATAACCAAATATAGCATCTTCCATTGAAAACTAGGAGTTTATAAAATGGTACATCTGGTTATCAAGATGGAATTTTTAAGAACTGTGATTGTCCTTTCCCAAGCATATTCCTAGTCTACTATATCACACCATAGTATGGTGGACAAAGCTGGGAGGCATAAATTCCCCACTCTTCTGTTTGCATATATTCCTGATAAATACAAAGTTAAGGACTAGATAGCAATAGCAAGTAGACTTATTCCCTCACAGTGCTTTACAGCCCTCTCTAAGTGGTTTACAGAGTCAGCATATTGCACCCAACCATCTGGGTCTTCATTTTACCGACCTTGGAAACATGGAAGGCTGAGTCAACCTTGAGCCACTCAGAATTGAACTCCTGCAGTACTGCATTCTAACCACTGATGCCCACGGTTCTTAGATAACAAAATCCTAGATAATGGCTATTTTACCCAATAGAGCACTGAAAAGCAAGGGTTTTAAGTTGGAAGGGCTAAGTTGAAATGTTTGATTAGACTGTAACCTTAAAGGAAGTTACCTTAGCCTTTGGCCAGAATGCATATTTACACAAAATGCCCCCCACTTCAAGCCAGTTACTGGTTCAATGCTTTTCCCCAGTCCATTTTCCAGTTCTCACTCTCCTTCAAGATTCTGCTACGACTGTGAATTTCAGCAGGACATAATCAACCAGCAGTTTAGATTCCTCCCCTCCTAGAACTCATTAAAAATACAAAAATAAAAGTAGGGTGCTTTCGTCCCCAAGACCTTTCCAGTTATCCTTTAGAGTTGCTCCTACAGTGGTAATTTTCATTGCCAGCAATATCTCTTCTGCAGGGAAATATTTTTTTTAAAGTCATGGGTCCAGGAAATTAATTAATTAATTGTTCATTCATTCATCCAATCAATCAATCAATCAATCTCTATAGTCACATATCCCAACCAATGTCTAACTATAAAAATAATAATTAGAAACATTTAAAGAATGAAAACATCCAAAATTAATATATACACTAGCTGAGGTAATGAACCAATTAACAGTAAGGCTAAGAAATGAGGTTCTTAGCATGTTCAGAGCCTCAGGCTCAACTAAGCAGGCAGCCTTTCAGAAAGCCAGCAGGGTTGAGGCCATTCTAATTTACTCTGTGGGGAGAATATGTCACAGAGCAGGGGCTACTCCAGAAGAGGCCCCAACAGCTGACAGGATCTGCAGCATGCCCAATCTGTTAGATCGAATTGGATGGGTAGAGATTCTTGGAAATTGATGTAATCATGGGCAGACAGCCTCTGCTAGGAACATGAAGTTCAAGGCCTAACCCCTTAAGAAAACTGTATCTTTAGTGTAGCAGATAAGGAGGCAGCCATCCAGATATACATCTTTCCCTCTCTGAGTGTCCCTATACACATAATTCTGTCTTCGTTGTAGATATCTTAAAGAAACAAAGAGTACCAGACAGATTTGTAAATATTTTAAAGATTAAAGAACAGCACAGTCTTAATCAATACAGTCTGGGCTTGAATCTCCGTGTTATATTCTTGCAGCATGCAAAACAGCAAGAAAATCCCTCAATTTCTACTGCCGATTTGCCAGTTGTGATTGCTGCAGATACCTAACCTCAAGACTTGGCACTTCAGCACAGGAATGGCTGTACTCCAATTATTTTCGTTTAAGCTGCGTTTATTTGTTGTTGACAGATACACAGATGGATCCTGTGCATGCCCTGAAAGCTCAAACAGGATTTCTATTTACTTTTTCTTTAAAAAAAACCCACACAACCCTATTTAGATTACAACAGCACTCTGTAGTTACATACCACAGATTTAAACAGTAACTAATCAACACTTCTACCTGTTACTCCCTCACCCATTTGATGAGAAGCAAATTTATTTCATAATCCATATTTTATACACCAGATAATTTAAAAAAAAAAAAGAAATAGCAAAGTGGTTGATCTAAAATTAAACCAGAGCAAAATGAGGCCAATGCATTTTGAGGTAGATCTGGCTAGCTATTCTGAGATAGGTCCCACTGCTTTCGCTATAACTGTCTAAAGCCACCTCTTTATATAAAACAGATTCCCATTAACAATATGCCATCTGTCTGGCTGATCTCATGATAATGGTTTTCCTATCTTTCCCTGCTCAAGTGAATTAAGTGTAGCAAAGATATGTATTAAACAACTATCCTTTCTATTTTTTTAAAAAAAAATACTCGATATAAGGGAAAATATCCAAAGAAAATATGGGAGTTGAAAGGTTTTCCTTACGAAAGAACCTATTGTTTATTCCCTGTATCCATGAAGGCATCAGTTATTGGGTGACATGAACCCTTGGCCTCAAGACTTTGGAGAATTGCTACTGCTCAGAATAGATTATATTGCCTAGATAGCACAATAATCTACGTTGTAGGGTGAGAAATATTTAAATTAGCAAAATAGGAAACCATGTACGTGCCAGATAACAATAAATGCTTGCATCAAACAAATAAAAACATCAGCATTTGGAAAAGAAGACAGAAAGCATTTTGCAATAGGCTAGTGACAGAGATACTTGATTCCTAATAACTGAAGCCAAATCCAACTGCTTGTTCCTGAACAGAAAATAATTCTGTTCAAAGAAAAATAGAAAGCTGTCTTTTTGCCAGGTGAGAGTATTCCTCATTTGGCCGGTATGATTAGTTCTCTCCAGGATCCTTCATGTTACCTCTAGTGGATTCCTTTTTAAATTGGAAATGTCAGAGTTCAGAGCATGTGCTCCTCCCCACGTGGCAGAAAATTACAAGCCTTTGACAATTTTACCAATTTAATAAACAGAAAACTAGGGGCATTCACATCACCTTAAACTAGGCATACCTATGACCTGCACACAAACTAAATTCTTTATCGGCAATCTCTCAGCCTCTTCATAATCATTATACAGAATTTCCAGTGGGATATGGCATTTACATATGTAATGCAAGTAACTGATAGTAAAAATATGCAATGCCATGAAAGCAAAACTAAACACCATCAAAAAGGAATAAAACATCAACATTGAAAAGCAACCTAGGAAGTTTAAAGTAGAGGATATAATAACAATTAGGACACAAAGCTACTTTTATCCTCTGACCTAATTGTCTCTATTCCTGATTGAGTAATCAGTTGCCTTCTGCTAGTCTATATTTAATACTCCTTTTTTGAAAAGTCTACACCAAATGCTTCTATATACAGCTCAATTGATCAGTCTTTAAAATTTTTTTAAAAAAACCATTTGTAGGTGGACAGAAAAGTACACAGATGGGCACACAGCATGACAAGCAAATAAGCAGATGGGGGTAGAAGGACACAGAAAAATATAGATATGGAGACAAAGACAGAAGAATACCTAGAAAGAGAAATATGTGGATCTGGTGCAAAAGATTCACTACAGAAAAACATATCAGAGGGGAGACAAAGAAAAGTTTCACAGTGAAGATATTCTTAATTTTTTAAATTACTGTACATTGTTTTTAGAATGTACAAACTGATATTCTCAACATTCCAGCATTAAAATATATCTTCCTTCTAAGAGCATGCAACCTGAAATAAATATTATATACTTTACTCAATGAACTGCTCTTTTTAAGCTGACAAATCTCTTTGTAAGAGCATTTTCCACCATCAGCTGGTGTTTAAACAAGTCAAATGGTACTTTTGTGCCTTATATATTTTACGTAGAATTTGTGTGGAGCTA